GTTGCTAACGCTGCTGCGCTGTTGCTAACGCTGCTGCACTGTATAATACTGTGCACGTGGCTGTGTATGTTACTCACATTGTTTGACATCATGATGGTGAGCAGAGACTTGTTGTGTGAGTTGAAGGCAACATTCAAAGTGGTGGCTTGAACCATGATGAGAATGGCATGAAGAACTGAGTACACTTGAGTCAAGGAGGGAAAAAGAAACGGTTTTCCATAAGATCTGTGCTGCTTCTGACTTTTATACTACTTATACCTATATTTATATAAATACTACTACTACTTTTCTACTCTGTTTAGACAGTATTTACAAATGTAATGTTAACAAACACAAACTTGACAGAGTATACATAAGTGACAGTAGTGTTTTACAATAAAGCTTTCTATCAATGTTTTCTAGAGATCAATACTTTTTAAAATAATTTTAATACAAAATAGGTTGGATATTTAATAAATACTTAAATAGATAATTAAATAAAAAACTAAATAGAAAAGTAAATACCAATATGTCTCTATGACCAACTAAATGTTTATTTTAACTAAATGTTCCAAATCCTAACAATACATCATATAAGCTCATGGACAACAAACATGTAACCCAACACTGTTCCATTGACAGAAAACAAAAAATAAAATCAGGTTCTTTCCAGTCAGGATACAGACATAGAGCACGGCCATCAGGAAGTGAGGAATCACACCTATGTGTGCTCTCTTCTTCTCCTTTGGTTCGGTCGCCGTCCAGTACAGAGCATCCAGAATGTCCTGACCAAATGATGAGAACAGCCGATCGGCCACCTGATAAGATGGAAAATAACGACAACAAAGGTGAGTGAAAGGACGGCTGAGATGTCAGTGGTGATTCAAAGAACCAAAAAACGTCACTGTGTTTACCTCTAACATGTTGTATATGATGTACAGTTTGATGACAGACTGTCCCCTGATGAGGTGGTACATCATGGCGTAGTCCACATAGCTCATCATGGAATAACACAACACCATGATGAAGCCTTTCAACACATCACACACCTGGGCTGGTTGCAACAGACGTGAACCACTAAAAAAAATCAAGGAAAAAAAATTACAAAACACAGCTAAAATACTCCCACGCTCTTAATGATAAAGGAGACTTTACTGCCATCTACAGGTCAAGAACCATACTAGAACAGTTGCTTGTTCCTTAAAGAAATAAGTCAAATCAGATTTAAATAATTTTCCAAAAATTTGTTTCTGCGCATTGTTACAGGAAATGTGACTTTTGTAATGATTTAATATGTTTTTTACATTTTAAACAAAAATTTGCTTCAGACAAATGCTTGTTTTAAAGGCTGCCTAAAATTCTCAATTTGTAGCACTTCACCTGAGGCCGCAGCATGGCAGTGTGAGGAGCCGTAGAAGGGCCAGAATTACTCTGAGGGGCAATAGCGTGAACACGTACAGAAAAGCATCCAAGCACAGGAAGAAGCCAAAAGTCATCAACTGCAGAGACAAAGGATATGATGTTAATATTGACTTTTTTTACACATTGTTCTGCAGAGTTCATCCTTTCTCTGTTTACCTTCTCCAGCTCTTTGGGGATTCGAAGGCAGGTGTAAACCCGTTCTCGCCGCTCTGTGTATTTGGCTTCATTGTGTTCCAAAAAATAGCCTCTGGTGAGCTCAGTAGTTACAAACCGTACCAGAGACAGGTCTATATACAAAAGGACAGGAAAAAAGGTGTACTCATGAATATTACAACAATAAAATGCTTGTAAAATTATACATAAATAATACTTTGCCTTGTTGTCTATTGTCTGTTGTCTATTATTATAACACTCCTTCGATAAATAAATGTATAGTATTCAACCTCATTACAATATATTTTCCCCACAGAATCTTGAGTAAGATGGCTGTTTTTCTTGAGATGCCATAATATAATGGGAATATCTAAAATAACAGCAGAATTTTCAAATTAATCACAAAAATATTGCATAGAAAGCCTTTTTTTATTAAAGCTAAAGAGTGAATCAGTCAGAGAAACACAATTTAATCTAGCTGAGTGTTTGCCCACAGTATCTGAGGTAGAATCTATATCCTAAAGTCCAAGAGAAAAATGGAGTAGAAGCACTGTTGCCAGATCAGGTGGTATTCCGGGGGGACAAATAGGTTAAAGAAATAGGAGCAGGTACAAAAAAACTGAGTTCTTTGTTTCTCCCCATTTATCAACAGCAGCAACAACAGCACACACAATGCCAGAATTACTCTCCTCCCCCCCCACCAAACACCGAAATCCCCCCCCCCCCCCGCCAAAAAAAAACGCCACCCATAACAAAAAGCCAGGAGTCGTAATTTTTCAGCTGTCTTTAAATAATTTAGAAATCGCTACTATCATCAAATTCCATGTACGCTGCAAATACACACCCATACACCCGCTTACTGAAACTGAAGTTACTTTCAGCCAACAAAACTCAAGTCTTACTTCAGTCCTCTAGAGATTAACGAAAACGTTTCTACTGTGTGTGTCAGATCCTGGGTTTGTAACATGAAATTGACAGTTGAATTTGTACTTGGGGTTCTGGTCCTCACTGGGCTACTTTGGTGAAACGAACCTGGCAACACTGGTTGCAGCGCCCTAGGCTGCAAGGTCTCGGCTAAATGAAATGTCAGTACGTGCCTCTGCAGCGTACATTACTGTGTGTACAGTGCACCAGAGTTATCTAACAACAGCTGTTAACAAAAATATTCAACCACATTAGCAGTTAGCTTAGCACTGTCACACAGAAGCCTCTAGGCTTAGGCAAAGCTAGCGCTCACCTGACAGGTTGCGTTTCTTGCCTATGTTGCCACCATTTTTTTCACTGAATCCTAACGTCTCCCTTAGCCGGTCGGTATTGTTGTCCTTCTCGGATTTAGCGGTCCATCTCTCTTTCTCCTTGTCCTTCTCCTCCTTTTCCTCTCCTAGACCTGCCGATAGCGATTCCGCCATCTTCACCACACAAGCTCATCTGCTGCTGGGAGTAGGAAAAGAGTGGTGATGCGTCACACATCGTGACGTCACTGCGTACACCAAGCTCCACGGTTCGCCAGTAGTGGTCGCTAAATTATTCTTAACTTTTAAAAGTTTTGTGGTTAATATCGTTCGTGTGTTGTGGTTTAGCGGACGGTTTATATGAGGACCAAACAGTCAAAATGTCACCAACAATGAAACCCACTAAAGGTTAGAAATTGAACTCTGAACAATTGATGGCTGATGAGCTAGCCCCACATGCTAACTCTAACTGCCAGCAACAAATAAAATACAAACTGTGCAGTACCTTTCAGGGGAACATACTGTACATGATGTTTATAGGTGTGGTGAAACATGATTCAACAGGAAACCACGGCTAAATGTTTGCCCCAGGCCCTTATCACGTGGTTGATTTCATTTCTTGTTCCATCTTTGGGCTATTTTTTACAACATGCTTTGATCGCTGAGTAAATAAACAGACACACACATTTTGACCCATCTAAACAAACACATTCTGACTTTGATCCACACTGGCTCATGGTCAGAAGGGAATTTCACATATTTATTTAACCTGTTTTGCCCTCATGCTAAAGCTGAACTTTATTACTTAAAAAGATCCTGTTGTATTTTAAAGCCACACTGTACAGTACTTTATAGTAGCCCTACAACAAGTGCTACTTGAATTTAGTTTTGAAACCACGTATAAATCAAACACAGAAACAGCACCTAACTGTTTTTAACAAAGTAACTCACCCTGTCGTTATTGGGATGAGATTCCCCAAATCACCACAAGATGGAGCACCAGATGTACATGTTCCACAGTATGAGAACCAATAATCTATCCATGCTTATCCTCCAACTTTTTTTTACTATCTTTTATTAACACTCCTTCCCTTCAATGGTTACTTTTAATTTTTGTTATACTTTAACTTTGTTAAATCATATTATATTAGGTAATATTTACTGTAAACTTACATTATTGACTTATATTACATAACAATAGATTTGCAACCTAAGGATTAAGACCATAGGATTATAAGTATAAACAATGACTGACATTATGCATGGGGAAGGATTTGCCGTGATTTTTCTAATTCTAATTTAACCTTTGTTAGCCTACTTGGGAAACAGCCAAGCACTTCCTCTGTCCAGTTATATATAGATCCAATTTATTGCAAACAATATGTGAAAGACAGTCAGTGAAGCATGGATGAAGCAAGATTTGCATGAGGCCCATATTAGGATTGCTTAATAGTCACCTTATATTGACCTTTAGGATGAGGAAACTGACCTCATCTGTCAATTTTATACCATCAACCGCCTTCACACTATTTTACAGCTACATCAACGATAAAGGTCAGCATTACATCCCCGGTTCCAAAATACCAAGCAGCAAAGGTTAATCAATCCCCTGAATAAAGAGTGTGTGCGTGTGTTGTGAGACAATGTATTTGTGTGTGTACGCGCACGCGTGCGTGCGTGTGTGTTTGTATGGACAGGAACCAGGCGCGGAGCAGGGATAGAGTTTCTCCCAGTAAGAGATCTCTTTGACCGCCATAGATTCTGTTTCTCCTCCCGTGACTCACTTCACTCCACCAAGAGGAATAACTATTTGCATTATTTTCCCATGATTTGTTTCGTCTTTTCTTAACTTAAAATAAACTCATGGTGGTGGGGTGGTGCGCTGCGCGGTCGCTGCCCGGCGTCGTGTTACCTTCCTCGGGACACCATGGTCTCCTAAGATGCCTTCCCTGTGGAAACGGATAACGTTCTCGGTGGCCTCGGTCCTCTGTGTCGGCTCAGTGGTCCTCCTGGTCGTGGCCCTGTCCACGGAGCGCTGGGTCACCGGGAGGATCCTGTGTAAAACCGGGGCTGAGATAGTGAACGCGTCCCACCCGGAGATGGAGCAGTTCATCGGGAACATCTACTACGGTTTATTCCAGGGAGGGAAGAGCAAGAAGTGCGGGCTCGGGACGAGGAGATCCAAAATATTCAGTAAGTTTTAACACAAGTATAATATATACAGTCATAAAATAGTGTTTTAGTCAAACCTTAGCCCTACACTGTGCAAGTATAATCTAACAGAGCACTAAAACTTGAAGCATTGAAGCATCAACTATTAGCATTAAATATGAAGTGTATATTTTATTAGATAAAATATCCATGCTTATATTCAGACATACTGTATGTTTACACTGTTGCAAAGCTTTAATTTCAAAACAAAGTGAGAATAGAGACACACATGAAAAAAATATATTTATAGGGTTGACGTCAACAAAATCTTTGTTCAAATCATCAAGGACAAAAAAAGGACGTGTTGATTTTTTAAATTTTATTTACTTCAGTGTTTACGTCACACAGCTCTTTTCACATCAGCAAAGTCAACAAATTTTATTTACTTCAGTGTTTATGTCACACAGCTCTTTTCACATCAGCAAATGGATTTTGTTTTTCTTTATCAAAGAATAACAATAACAGGTTTTTGACAGATCTGTGCTGTATCATAGTTCATCTGCTCACTGGTTGACTGCACATGTTTTTTTTTTGTTTTTTTGTATTGTCCAGTTTTCCCAAAACTTGTGCGAACGTTGAATGGCGGTCTTCACATGATGGTGATCCTCTTCTTGTTTGTGGCCATTGGCTTCGCTTTGGTCAGTTTATTTTTCTGTATTTTCAATGCACGGAAGGTTCCCTACCAGAGCATTAAGGGCCACAAAGGACTCTACCTTTGGAACCTAATTGCTGGTATGTCAAGGTTATTAACTCGGAACTTTTGAAACACATTTTACGCTTGTTTTTATGATTCACTAAAGTATGCTCTTCTGTTTGCAGCTCTTTTTGGAGCCCTGGGTGTTTTGTGTTTCCTGGCAGCCATGAGATGCCACAGTCTGACTGAACGGGTGGCAAACTACAAGGAGAATCTCTTCGTTCTTGTTGTGCTGGACGACAGCCTGGACTGGTCTTTCTGGCTGGGAGTGAGCAGTATTGCCACACACTTCGCTGTATGTGGAGTGGTTGCCATGAGTCGCATCAAGTTGCCCAAACCAGAGATCAAGAAACCTGAAGAACCCACGATCTCTGCCCTGGACCTGCTCTACTGAAAAACTAAACAACGCTTCAAGTACAGACTTATTGTTGACTTGTGGTAATTTTGACTGAACTACACACAAACTGAAAAGACGAGTCACTTGAAACCGCTCTCTAAGACTACAGGACTTGTCATCCATTGTATCATTTTATAATATATAACATAAAAAATATATTCTAAAGATTTGACTGGATAAAATGATGATGTTATTTCCACAAAATCTGCATGGACCTGGGCAACTGTTCAAATTTACTGAAAGGGTTATAGTAAACTTCAACGAAGAGTCTTCAAGGAAGTGAAAACATGAATTTTTCTACTCACTCTGTATCATCTACATAACATCACATACAACGTTGAAGAGTTCCATTAGGCAACTGGACGTGAAATTTTCTCAAGATAACATCTCATCCAAGTCTTATCCAAGTCCAGAGCCTAACGGAACTCTTCAACCTTGACCATGACCTGGATGACTGAGCATCTTCATAGAGCTCATACAACCATTTCTAAGGTCAGAAATCTTTTCTTCCTTCACCTTTTTCTTGTAACCAAAAAACTCCATTTTCACCTTTGTTCATCTACAACCTCTCTTGAGATCATGTTACCATGCATTAAAACATCAATTGAAAACCACTAACAGCACATAAGAAATCTCAGTATCATCCACTTTACTACGTCAGGACTCCAGATCAACCACCTGTCTTCTGTCCAGTACCCCACTGTCTCTCAATAAAACATTCAAGCAGATCTCATTTCTAACCAATCCATTCTGCCTGTATCCTCTTTTCACCACTTTTGTACACTGTCCATTACTGAACTTGAACACATCGATCCTCTTACCTCTGTTCAGTGTTTCGTAACCATTCCACCTTCCTAACCTCAATTTTACACAAATTGAGAGACAAAATTAAATGTAACACAGCCATTTTTATTAATGTGGCAACTATATGTAAATGTAGGCAAGCATTGATGGTTAGGATTTTAAAAAATAATAATGTGAGAATTGTATTATATTAAACATTGTATTTATACTTTATGGTACTACGTGTGTCAAAAACGAGTACTAAAATGAGTGCATGACGATTTTAGGACGAATTTTTTCTTATAAAAAACAGCAACGTTAACAATTTGACTTATCGCGAGATCTTTTGCATGAGAACAGGTGAGACGACTGATTGATGCAGCCGCTGCCTCACGACATGAGTGAATGTTTGGCTGTGAACGGACATCGATCAAAGTGAGCGACGCATTATTTTATGGTTCTGGTGTAAACGACCGAGATATAATTTATTTTTTTTGTTCTCGGTACAGTGTTTCAAACATGCCGAGGAACAACAACCAGGTGAGTACCATGACCGACCAAGAACCCGAGCCTCACCACAGGAATTCTGTTCAGTAAGAATTGTCTTCAAATGGTGAAAACAAAATTATACGTAAAATAATATTTTATTCCACTGGATACACTGGAACATCTAAGTTATTTTACTTTTTACAGTTAAATCCAAAACCGTATTAGTTTATGGGTTCAAATTATATAATATATATATATATATATGTCACAAAAGTAAAAATAAAATAAAAAGTCAAATGAAGAGCCCACGTTTTAAAAAATAAAAAAAAGTCAAATGAAGAGCCCACGTTTTTCCATAAATATAAATGTGTCTTCGAATCAGTTCCCTTTTAGCAAGTGATTTAATTTAGCCAGAAATACGGGATATTTCCTCCGAATAAATGCAACTTCTCAATTTAGAAAATTTCGAAGAAAACAGTCAATTTTGAACGTATGTAACTATTGTAGTATAAAACTTTGACTCTTTTTTTTTTTTTTTTTTTTTGTAGAAAGCACCAAATGCTGCGGCTCGATTCTCCAGATTCCCCGTAGTTCGCTCGGCCTACAGCAGCCTGTCACTCGTCTATTCCGACACTAAACGATATCACCCCAGACTGAAGAGTGTGTGTGAGGTGCTGGAGAACAGCGTGTCGGCTCTGGGCACAGCGGCCAGTGACAGAGTCTCACCGGTTATAGTCCAACTGCAGCCCCAGAGTGAGTACTGCTACAAAAACCTGGTATACAAGTTCATAAGGTACAACCTAAGAGTAAGAATTCTCAAGCTAAATAAAAATAATAATAAAATCTTAGTCGATCTACGTAACTGACACATCAGAATAAGAACAGTGGTGTGAATTAATATTTCTCCTTACAAACTTAAAACTGCCTTATTTTAAAATGTCACTAGGGGGAGCCAGAATCTCCCGTATTCCGTGACCTTCATGAATTGTGATATTATTTAATTTTATTTTTAAAGTGTTATAAAGTGTGTGTTGATAAAAAGAAAAAAGGTTGGTGATATTTGTTATCAAATGCATGAGGAGTTTCAAACATTATTTACAGCTAGAGAAAACAATGTAAGCCCTTTTTAGAGCAATTACAACTACGCTTTTATTGATGGTGTCACTGTCTTGTTGTGTCTATAGTTTCCGCTGCAAATGATGTGGCCTGTAAAAGTCTGGACTGGTTGGAGATTACGTTTCCTGTACTTCACACTCCAGCAGAAGAGGTAACTGCATCATTTTATTTACGTATATTCTCTGTTTCTCTGTAAGATTTAAAACCGGCTCTTTTTTTCTGCCTTCTTCTTGGGACTGCTTTATCCAGATCGTAGCCACCGCCAGAACCATGATTAATGAGATCCAGGACGTGGTGCGAATTGCAGCTCACGGGACCCTGGACTGTGTCACATGGGTGCTGGAGAGGATGCAACAGGTGGAAGAAGGGACCAAGGACAATCCAGCAGGGAGAGCCATCAGCGTTGCCGGTGTGGGACTGGATTCTGCCCTGAGCACAGCGGAGTCCCTGATGGACCGAGTTCTTCCTCCCACTAAAGAAGACAGAAGTACACGAAGCACTGCAGCGTGGAGCTGCTGAATTAACATGAAGTTATTTGCATACGTGTTTAAATCTCAGCTGTCACTTCTTTGGCCTTTTGCAGAAGCAGCAGTAGCTCATTTGGTGCAAGGCTTCGAGGTCAGCAGTCTCTCAGGGGGCTTTGCTGTACGACTGGTGTCACTCACGGCTGAGCTCTGCCGCAGGACCTTCCACATGGTTGGGGCTAAGGTGCACTGTGTTCAGGTGTGCTGTGAGTACTGTTCATTGCAAGAGTTAAACGGTCTGCTTTCTCTGAATTGATAGTACAAGAACTGACTGCTAGTTATTTATATCCGGCGACCAATGTTACTGGTTCGATATTCGAATAATTTTCCGTAGGAATCATGCGCATTTATAACCCATGAGGACCATCCAGGGTCTGTCACACTTTTTTACCAAAACTGCTGGGATGTGCCCCAAGTAGATAATCAGCACCAAATTGACTAATCCACAGGTACAAAACATAATATTGATCAGATATTTATTTTAATTTTTACGACATTCTCATACTCTTTATCCACAGGTAGAGACCTTGTCCAAGTCCTCGGCTCTGGTTCAGGACCTTCAATTCTCCTGTCTGGGTTTGGTCTGGAACCTGCAGGGTGTTCCTCAGTACTTGCAGCACCAGGCTATTTCTGCTTTGTTCTTTATCTCTCAGATGTACGGCCTCACCTGCTCTCAATCCCAACAAACCCAGTGTAGCAGAGCCAGAAGTCCACTCAAGTCAACCAAGGACTCCTTACCTCAGAAGGACACACCACAGGTCCATCCAACACCTACGTCACACACCTGCCTGAAGGCCCATCCTCCAAAAGTATCTCCTAAAGTCATGGCACGTGTTCGTTGTTTGAGATAACTGTTAGTACTGACTTTCACAAAGTGGTGTATTGCATTGGTGTAAAATAAAGTTAATCAAAGAATCATTATGTCTGTGTAAGTTCAAGTCTAAATGAGGCAGATGTTGTGCAGTGGCCAATCTGTGACAACGATGAAAAGACTGAATATTGGTCATACATTCTGACCAATATATACATGGTTCTTCAATAAAAAAATGTTCATGCATTACCACCAGCAGTTTTCAGTTTACCAGGAAAGTAGTCAACGAACTCTCAGTCCTGTTATAGTTTAAGTGTCAGTAATGTTTTTAATTTTGAACAATGGTTGGAAAAAATGAAAACACCTGAACAACGATATTTTTTTTTCAGCAAAACATTTTCTTTATTTGTGTCTGATTTCACTTTTGGCTGGACTCTGACTTGGACTGAGATGCTCTCAGAGAAGAAAGACGACGTCTCTTGGCGATCTGTTCCTGGCGCTTCTCCTTGGCCTCCTGTTTGCAGGAACAAATGTGTGTCAGTAATGTTTTAACACAATGGTTACTCTCAATTGAGTGAGTTACTGCCCCCTCCCTCCTTCATCACCTTCGATATTTTACTCATCCTCCCTCCTTCCTTCATCACCTTCGATATTTTACTCACCCCCTATTTTGTAACAGTATGATATGCAACACTAACTTTGCTTTGTATGTAAATATCGCATGTCAACAATAAATCATCACATACCTTCATTCTCTTGTTTTAAAATATTGCATGTCAACAGTAAATCATCACATACCTTCATTCTCTTGGCCAACAGCTTGGCGTATTCGGAGGCTTCCTCTTTGTTTTTCTGGGTGCGCTGTCTCTTGAGGGCAATACGGCGGCGCTTGTGCTGCAGGACACGAGGAGTAACCAGTCTCTGGATCTTGGGAGCCTTGGTTCTGGGCTTTTTGCCTGTCAAAAAAAAAAAAAAAAAAAATGGAGTCAGCCATTCATACAACTCAACACCTGGTTGGGGTAAAGAAAAAAAAAACACTTGACTTTGTGGGGGCAGTTGTGGCGAGATTAACAAATACAGCTCCAACAAAACCTGTATCTGTTTAACTTCTTCCCCACAGAACAGTCTAATTTGACTATAAAATCAGCCAGATAAAGTTTTCTCCATTTATTAAGGTAATTCTGTACATATCTGCATGCCAAGCTGGTGAGGTTTATTTGAACAATCATACACAATGTGTAACTAGCTGCATTAAAACACTGCAGACAGATGGACAATGTTGAGGTACCATGCCAAAAGAAAAGCTTTATTTTTAGTCTGCACGATATTTTACTGAAGGATGACTTTCCTCTACTGTTCTCTATAGAGTTTGACTATGGGTATATTTACACTATATGTTATAATAAAACTATACACACCCACACCACTGGTCCATCAAAACATTGTCTTGCATAAAACTGTCCATGATGCAAAAGGTTGAAGACAACTACATTAACCTATGATTATATTAATAACATTTAATATAAATGTCCTCGCCCACCACATTTTTTATTTTAACTGTAAAATGCTTCCACAAATATTCAAAACCCAAACACATCCAGGTGTGACTACTTTAAATAGCTCATGGGGAGGTGGCAGTAGCCACTGATCCTACCTTCTTTAGTCAGGGGTCTTCTCACAACATACTGTCTAACATCATCCTCTTTAGCCAGGTTGAAGAGCTTGCGGATCTTGCTGGCCCTCTTGGGACCAAGACGGCGAGGGACAGTGCTGTCGGTAAGGCCAGGAATGTCCTTCTCACCTGAAAATATTTAAGTCATATTTAAAATACAATCACAACGGCAACTGGTTGTCAACAAAGCCTATAAAACGGCCTAAAAACAGGAGTAGTCAGGTACAAAAAAAGGGAAAAAAATCATTTCAAGTGAACTTTTTACACTTTGAAATGTTCAAAAATCACCCCTGAACTTTCTGATCTATTAATCTGTGTGTGTCATAATTAATGACCAGACATTTAGATAACTAATGAGAGAATGGCAGAGCATTGCAGTTCAACCAACCATGGTCACAGGTTTGGTCGCATCTGGTAAGCAGCTCCACGGGTATTCTAGCAACACACTGTCCCCCCTTAGTGACTACAGGTCAATCAACAAGGGTCTACTGGTGTGCCATCAGAGAAACGACACAAGGCTCATCAAAATGAACATACTGACAACACAATCTTTACATGCAATGTACTAATCCTAACAAGTGATTCAGAAGCAGCACGCTACACATTACCTTTCTTGACAATGACCAAATTGAGAACGCTGAGGTTGGCATCAACGATGCAACCACGGACAGACTTGCGCTTGCGTTCACCAGTCCTACGGGGGCGATAGCAGGAGTGGCCCTTGCTGAGCAGCAGGCGCACACGGCCATGGGTCAGCACACCCTGTTTCATGGGGAAACCCTGCCTGTCGTTACCACCGCTGATGCGGACAACGTATCCCTGTCAAGACAAAGACGACAACATTTACATATATTATATTTCCCACTGTTTAGGTCACTTTACAGATCTCAGTATCCACAAGAGCGCTTTACTCTAAAGAACTTGTTGGTGTTGAAAAGTTGAGAGAGTGATGCTCTTGTAATCGGCCAGTATGATTGACTGGCGATTCGCTTAGCAGCTCTGCAGCTTCTTTTGCAACACACTGTCCCCCCTTAATGACCATAGAACAGTCAAAAAGGGTCTACTGGTGTGCAACTTAAAAAAGTTCTTCTGAAAACCACTGAAGGAAATAACGCAACATCTCTTACCTTCCATTCATCACCCAGAGGATCAGCAGCCACCTCTGTGGCCATACGCTTCTCATAGAAAGTGCGGAGCTTACGCTCATCGTCCACTTCAATCAGCTTCTGGCAGCCAGTAGCGGGGAATGAGATGTTCAGCTGAAAGACAGGGGTGATAGTTGTACATGATCACACTACTTTGGAACATGTCAATATAGTAAGATATATGTGCATCGTTTAGTACCGTTTAATATCGCGTAAGTAGGGTGATACTGATGCAAGAACAGGTAACAAAAAACTAGAAAATAATAGTTTCAGGTAATATGAAAAGACTAGGTAACTAGAAAATAATAGTTTCAGGTAATATAAACCTAAACACTACCGGCAGTAGCGGCCTGTTAGCTTTGCTGCCAGATAGAGCCGCTAATGTTAGTTGCCTCGTATATTTCTATAACCGCCGAAGGACTCTCATTGTCAAATACACTACACTAAATTAACATGCTATTAGTAAAGGGAAATTATTTATTACAGTTAACCGAAGCTATGACTTCGTGCACATTTCTCTCTGTATTCCGCCATCTTTACAAAGCTCACTTGCCGACAGCCTGAAAGCGTTAGCTTTCCTCACAATCAAAGCTCATCCTCAGTATGCGAGCATAGACTGCGCCATCAAAGTAGCTCGTTTTGAAGTACAAAAACGCAACTTTACATTTATATTAGTATTTTAAATTAATCGATGATACACAGACAAAATAAGTGTAAGAAATGTTGTACCTTCATTTTGCCAAACCGACCCTACGAAGGTCCGCCACGGGAAAGAGGCCGGATATCCGCTGCGAGGTCTCACATAGACCCAAATGTTATCGCGATATTTGGTTCACAGTAGTTTTCATGTCCTTAAGTTATACATACATTTATTAGGAAAAAAACAAGGTGTTTGAAGTTGCTAAGTAGCCTTTTACTTATAACATTTTACTAACATTCTTTTATGCCGTGTGGACCATTCGTATTATGGCAGAAATGCAATAAAGCTGTCAATCGCAGTCAATTACACATTTTAAACTCACTACTTTAAACGATATTATTTTGTTTGTATTTTTTATAATCATACTAATACTTTGGGTTGTATTGTATATTGTATATTATATTGTATGTATTGTACTTTACAAAATATAGCCATAAGATCTACAACAAAATTGCATTCGAACCAGGAGGAAACCGGATGTGTGTTACAGTGACCCCTCTCATGGTGCCTGCTTCTTCTCTGGATACTTGGAGCAGCTGTCAGGATGTGCGCACTGTGTACAGAGTAGAGTGGAGCGTCACGACAGACAGGGGGAGGCTTTGTGCGGGGATAACGGCTTAAAATGCGGCTCAGCGACGCTCTCCGCAGTATCTCACACTGTCCCGTGCACTCTACGTGTCAATACATTTAGTGCGTCAGACAGGCAGAGGGATTTACTCGCTTGTTTTTTTAATCTCCAGCGCTGACGGCGGACTGTTGTGTCCACTCCACACGGTCCGTCCGACTCAACTAGTTCAGACATGAGTAACGTTAATCTGATTTTTTGGGACCAGTTGCAGGCTGGCAGCTCGGACGTGGATTGGTGCGAAGGGAATTACCTTATTTACCCCAGCATCGCTGAATTTTACAACACGGTCGGTTTGACAGCTGAAATCACCAGCCTGTGCATTTTTGCTTTTCTTTGTGTCTTGTATTTTGTTTACACCAAGATCACAGTTTTGCTGCGTCTTTGTGTTTCTTGCTGCCGCACTGTTGTGTATCTACAGCTTAGCTGCAGTCGCTCAACTTTAACACTTTGCCTACAGCTTAAGCATCACGATGTTTGTTTGATTTTTGTTTTTGTTATTGTTTAGTGTGATAGCATCAGGTTAGAATTTTTTTTAACCTCTTCATTTCAGCTGAATGTCAGGCCTGCACGTTGGTCCACTTCTGACCAGTTTAATGTCACTGAGGGAGGGGGAAAAAACTTCCCACAATGATTGCATTTTGGCTCATTGCTTTCCTTTGTTTTTCATTCCAGATCAGCAACATATTGTTTTTTGTTTTACCGCCCATATTAATGTGCTTGTTCCGCCAATATGCAACACATTTCAACAGTGGGATCTACCTCATATGGATTCTGCTTGTTGTGGTCGGTAAGTGGCTCTGGCACAGGATTGATTTTTGTGTTAACCTTTTAATCGTTTGTGCTTATTTTGAACTGCATGAATGAAACCGCTTCACCGTCATTTCCCTAACTCTGTCATTTGATAACTTATCCATTCTTTGTCATCATTATTATTATTATTAGAGCTGTGCACAGGTGATGCAACAAAGTGTGAGAAAGTATAAATATTTAAAACCCCAACCTTAAATCCCAGGGTGTGACAGTCGTTATGGTAGAAGAATTAATTAAATCAGAATGTCAGCATCAACCTCTGACTAACACGCAGTTACATCCTCACATCCACAGTCTCTACTGTACTGGATATATAGATAAATAGAAGGTTTGCTCTGTGGGTTTACATTAGAAAAGGGACTGTCAGAAAATAGCTACGGAATTAATTCAAGAAAAAAGTCATGATTTATCATCACCAGGCTCCAGCCTCATGATCTGGTTATCAATCACAAGCCTCACCACTGTGTGCCAACTCCTTTACATTTTTTAATTATCATTTACTTCAAGATGTGATTAATCACACATATGATATCACTCTTGATTCAAGAAGACCTGAATCAGCCTTAAGCTATTCAGAAATTTGCTGCGGTTATCCATCAGGCTATAACCTCTTTATACCACGGACTGTTGTAGTAACCTGGCCTAGAATTCCAATCATGCTGAAGGATGCTGAGGAAAATGAAGAAATAATTTTTGTCAAAACATATTTTGCTATATCGTTCAATCGCTGTTGTGTCAGAAATGATCTTCATAGTGTGAACTGTGAGTGTGAACAAGTCCGTTGTCTGATTTTCCACTGGATCTCTCAGTTGAATTGCATCTGTGTGGAATCTTAATTTGCAGCACTTTTTATAGCAAAGAAAGAATTAGCACACATGAGCGAAGCATGGAACGAAGACGTGCATCTGCCCCATTTTGCATTGACTTTGCATGTGCTTTGGTTGCACCGTGTTAACACCTGGTACAATTTGCACCAAAAACTCTTACCTGGTTAATGTCCTGGAATAATTATTGTCATAGCAGAACAAGAAATTGGTTTGATTGTAATTAAATTTGTAACGTAAAATATTTGTTAAGGAGGACAAATCCTTAAAACCTTTTCATTATGCTCATAGAAATGTTGAATACATTTAGTAATTGTATTTAACTGTAAACTGTACGAGTGCTTCATGATATGAATTGAAATCTGAATGTCCTTATAATATCCCATATCTGACTGAGGCTGCTCTAAGACCAGTGAATTTGCCTCATTCGTCACAGAGTATGGATCCACAGAATGATGCTTGTCTGTGTTTATAAAAGAAGTCTAAGTCCCAGAGAGAGAGAGACAGAGAGAGAGAGAGAGAGAAGCCACTTCCTACTGTGGCCGTTACAATGTTTAGGAACAACTGTGGTCGCACAGTCAGCAAAGATAAGCGGACAGATCTCCCAGTGTTCTTACTGCACGTAGAGAACAACAAGAACCAGGGGCAGTTGTAATGGATTTGCATAGTGACGTTGCAGCAGGCACATCAATCAGCAGCTGCAGGCTGTTGACTGTGCTGTTACTCAGACGCCTCTGGGTCACTTCCAAATGAGGTTGTTTGTCCAGTTTAATGTTTTGTGTGTCACTTACCATGTCACTTATCCTGTTTGAGTTTCGTGTTTTCACAGGGTTGAGTCAGAACCCAACAAATCCCGTAATGTTTAGACTCGATATGCGATATGCCAATGTTGTCCAAATACTTAATTTCTGATTCCGATATCAACCGATACCGATATAGGCCTAGTAATATTTTTTTATTTGTATGCACAAACCACTGTATGAGTATGAGATTAATTAAATAAGCTGCAATGCTGCCATCTAGTGACATTTACTTTAATATACAGCTGTTTATCCCCAAATCTATTTTTAAGGCGCACATCATTTGGCGAAACCCAGGCACGATACTTACAGATATTACGTAGTATGCTAATATCTGTCCGCCGATATTATCGGACGTCCCTAGTCAAAATCAATAAATTCTCCATAGCATCCCAAAATAGCAGCGATCAGTCCATAAGTGACAGTGTAAATTCATTTTCAAGGCAGTCCTTTGTTTTGTCCCCGTGTGTCCAGCCTGTGGTTCGTGACCACAGTGGGACGTTTGTTTCTCAGAATCACTAATTGTCCACAGGAGGCTGTTTTGATGTGTGTGAGTCTCCTCCCTCTGCACTTATGAAAACAGGTTATGCTGATAAAAAAGAGGGCTGCTGGACAGTGATAACAAGGTGGCGCTAACAGACTTGTCCCCCTCTGCAGACTTGTTTATCTTCCAGCGGATGGCGTTAAATGTCTTGTTTGCTCGGCACATTGACATTTCTGAGAACTTTCTCTGAGCTGCTTCACAGCTTTTGCCTGAAGGGAATCAATTACAACAGTCAACTGTTTCTAACGTCTTACTATTAGTTTCCCTTATTTTCCTATAGTTTTACATGACTACTGTTTTGTTTGCAGTTGTTATTTGCATAGTTTGTTTATTGTATTTCAGGATACAGTTATCTCAAAATGACTAGTACTTTGTCCAAACCTGCATACTTGACAAACAGATCACACATGGAGGTTATTGACTGCCTGAAACTCTTTCTCCTCTGACCACAAACTCGTCTTCTTGCATCTTTGACTACCAGGTATTGGATCCACATATTTCCACGCCACCCTCAGCTTCCTGGGCCAGATGCTGGACGAGCTGGCCATCCTATGGGTTCTCATGTCTGCCATCGCCATGTGGTTCCCCAAGAGATATCTACCTCGGATGTTCAGGAGGGATCGGTACGTCCGCCAGTCTGACTATTAATCCCTCTCTGGTGCATTAGCAGGAGCCTGGTGTAGGCTCGTCATCTGATGTGTATTTGCCCCACTTCACCTCCCCCCCCACACACATCCCCCCGCCCCCACTCTACCCTCTGTTTAAAATAGGTCTGTCTGAGATAGCTGACACCAGGAAAAATATATCACATGTCTTTACTTCTTCTTCCATTGTTGCCATGGATTTTATTTTCTCTTCAGCCCTGACTGATTCTTGTTGAACCTCTGAATGACTGCAGAGATTTCTTTTTTCTGTGAAAGTGCAGAAATAGAATCATTAGCTTTTTTTAGCTGATGTGTTTTGCTCTCTCCAGGTCAAGGTTCAAGGTGGTCATTGGCATCCTGTCAGGCATCACCACAGGGTTGGCCTTTGTCAAACCTGTCATCAACTCACTGTCACTCATGACTCTGGGAATCCCCTGCACCGCGCTGCTCATCACTGAGCTCAAAAGGTTGGTGGAAAAAGGAATGCAGTTCATATGGTTCTAAATATGTCTCATAGATACTTGACCTTGACAATAAACCTATCTATCTGTCTATTCTCATTTTCAATTTTAACTGAAACTAGAGTTGGGAAACCAAATAACTCAGAGCTGGTGACCTGGTCTGAAAAAGTAATCAATTTCTCCATGCCCATCAGTACACAAGGAGAACATGGAGCATTTTCCCAGAATCCACCACTGATCTCTGATCAGTAGTTGTCCAATAGTCAAATGAAAGAATACAAATTAAATGTTTAGGTTAAAGGAACTGAACCTTGTTTTCCATTTGGACTGACGTGCTGAGGTCCAGTAATTACAGTTGGAAACTGACAGACTACAAACCACAACAACAACAGCAGCAGAAGCTTCTCTTCCACAGGTCATTGACCTCTTTTGACCTTTTGTCCTATTCACTGGTAAACATGTGCAGTAAAACACGGGGGTCACGGGGTTTGGTTAAGGGAGAGCCTGAGTTCCTGAAAACACTTAATTCAACCTGTCATACCCTGTGTGTGTGTGTGTGTGTGACTCACTCATGAGTGTCACTCAGTCTGTCTAATACTTTCCTCCGTCACAGCTGTCTGGAGCCACACTCCTTTGTTTCTTCCGTTTCCCACAACCCTCAGTGAACAGTGTCAGTCCTCTAACCTGAAGTCATTCTTTGACAGTTCTGCCGTCCACTGGTGTTGACCCTGTGTTGTTGTCCTAAGTGGACTGGGACAATTCCTGTGGCTGTGACTGGTGGACCTCTGCCATCACAACAGACATGCTGTTCTGCTGTTAACCACCCTCTCTGCTACAGTCTGTCTGTTGGCCCACGCTCAGGTCACTTCCACTCGGACAAAAACATGTTCAGAGTGTAGGAATTAGGAAATCCACTGAGGCGATAAACACCAGTCACAGCCGGGTCACAGTAGATGAACTGTGGTTGAAAAAAAGAGAAACACTGGCAGAAATGTAGATATAGAAGAATAGATTTATTTGTGATTTATTTTATCAAAGTACTTTGATGAGAATACTTTTTCTGCAGCTTTTTTAAAATTAATTAATTTCTCTGATATGAGACAATCCAAACATGATAATTTAATAAAACAGTTAACAAAGTTGATTTGATTTAAAGTTCTTCTTTTCACACGTCTTCATGAAGACTTTTTAATGTCCAGCTGTTCGTTGTCCTCTGAGAGTCATCAGCTGATGTCACGGAGCCTCTTCCTCCCTGTTCTCTGGAGAGACAGAAGGATCTCAGCTGAACTCCACCACAGACAGACAGACAGACAGACAGACAGACAGGTAGACAGACAGATGGATTTTTTTTCTTTACTTCTTAAACCCCAACAGTCAAACTCTCTATCAAACCGTCCACTCAGGGAGCCGTCCTGGGTTCCCGTCCTTATCTCATGCACTTCCCTTTCCCAGATAGGCAGCTGGGTGGTGGTTGTTATGTCAGCAGGAAGAGCTAGTGGCAGTTAAAATGGTCCTGATACTCACACACAGAACTGGTTCCGCATTTGACTGTAGGCATTTCAAACACGTACAGCACTTATCACTAATGTTGATACCAGGTTAATGGCCTGTGTTCTCCAGTGGTGATTTATCATCTTCTGTGTTTGTTTTTTTTCCCTCACATGCCGGGAAATCTCCCCCTTTTCACCTCCCTCTCTGTGGAGCTGTTGTGTAAGACAGTTACATTTCGCCTCTCTGATAAATCGACTCACTCTGTTGACCTAAAGTGACAGAAAAGAGACTACGGACAACTTTCTTTTTGTTTATTTTGTTATTATGTCAGTTCTTAAAATCCTTAAAAAATAAAAATAAGTAGTTAATTGATGTGGAAAATTGATTTATTTGCAGTTTAGGTCAGGTGGCTTCGTCTTTTTTACAATGAGAATGTGTGGTAGCTCAACACTTGCACAGGTGTTCTTTGGACAAACGGAAACATTTCTTTAGTCTGGCTCCCTCTACAGGTGAAAATATTGTCAAGATTCAGGAAGACAGGAATTCTTTCTGTGCAGAAAGGCAGCAGCAGAACTGCTGAACGTGTTTATTCTGCTCTGTTCGAGCAAATACCAAAGGAGTTTAATTAGATTAGGATCTGTTGACTTTCTCAGTCATTTACAATCAACTCATTTACGTTTGTAACAT